CACACCCCACAGCTATCAAATGAAATAATTCCAAAATAAAAGCACCTTGGCCATTAATGGGTATTGTACAGTCAATAGCTTCACTCTAGGATAATGGACAGGGAAGGTCACAGAAGGACTTCTACCCTATAGATGTAGTTAAGGGTAGATTTTCCATTTGAGATATAAAGACTTGCATAACACATTATACAAACTAAAACAAACTAAACATTATGGTGTACTGTTACACTGTAAGGTAAGGTTGGTGTTCAAAGACTGTCGTTAATTAATAGAGGACCATCAGCAACAAAAGGAAAGTAATACTAGGGCTACAAATTTGAGAGCTAAAATGTCAACTTGGTGACATAGTGCATGCTATGCAATTCAACAGCAACACTGTCTGGGTTTTGTTTGTGTTTTGTCTGAATTTTTTTCTGCACCCACAGTAGATGATCCACACAATAGTCACTAGGTGGAGAAAGTTTAGTCATTGTTGCCTAGGTGACCACTGTACACAACAGACAATAATCATTAAAGCCACTATTTAATATTAGTAAATGAAAAAGCCTTCCAGACTTGCTCTCTCTTGATGGAGAATTGCTTATTGTGTTTGAAGAAATCATTTTAATAAGCAATTATAGAACTGGTAGTGTACTTTGTGTACTTTTGACTACTATCAGTTTAGTTTCAGTTGTTGTAAGGCAGGGAAATGAAAAATTTATCTTAATTAAGTGTACTCTTGGAGAAATAAAAGACAACAAAGTATGGCAGTGTGTGTGTGTGTGCGCACGTGCTAATGCGTGTGTGTGTGTGTGTGTGTGTGAGAGAAAGAGAGAGATTTAGATTTTTAACATTGCTTTAACAACTTTGTAGTTATTTTGCTATGATGTCTGCAGTGTGACAGTTTATAGTAATGTCTAGCACTGGGGCATCAAGCTGCAAACATTTAGCATCATGTCTCACCCATTCACATTATCCTAACACCAGGCATACCAGTCCTAACACTCACTGAGGCAACTGTTAGTGCCATTTTTGTAAGTCTTTGATATGATTCGGGGTGAGGCAGACACTCTAATCCCTAGGTGACTGGAGCAGTCCTGCATAAATGTAAAATTTCAATAATATTGAGAGACCTGACTTCAAGTAGGAGCATTCATCTCTGAGAATCAAAAGTATACCATTCCATTTTAGACTGCAAGTTGAAGACTAGTTTATAGTTTATGTACTGTCGACTGTATCATGACTAAAGTCAGCACAGACTTGATAGAGATGCAGTTATTTTAAAATGGGAAAATAATGATTCCTGAAAATGTTTATATGTTTATGTTTTTGAAGTAAGCTTAGTTTTTTTTTAACCAGTTATATGTAATGTCCTTAAATTTTATAGGGTGTATTTCAGAGTATTGCTCACCATAGGAAAAAATGTCACCATGACCTATATTTCATGGTTCAGCAATCATGTTTTTGCATTTGACTCAATTTCCCTGTTAGGTACAGTCATGAAACTTATTGGTATATTTGTTTTGAAGGGTAAGTCTCACTACAGGCACAAGTAGATCAGAAAGCTTGCCATTAGTTTCCCATGGGTTGATGGTTCATATGATGTCTCCCCCCCCCCATTCTTCCTCCATCATATATCAGGATATAATGTAGCCTGTCAAGCACTGAAGAATGGTGTTGTACACAAAACAATATTTCAGTTGCATTTTGATATTCCCACCACATCCAGAACAACTAAACTATAATGCAGTTATGGGAATCATGAACGTGGACTATGTTTTGGATTGGTCACTTTATTTTGAAGTAGTTTATAATACAGTGATATTATTATGAAATTATAAAATGGAATAATGGCTGTCTTAAAAAGGGACACACATTATATTGAGGTACTTTATAGCAAGGATGAATTGTACTGCATTTACATTGATTAGCATTGACACAGATCTGTAATAACATAAAGTAAGGGTGTATGGTTTGAAATGATGTGGAAATACAAAACCATTGCTTGCTGACAGCTGACACTGATGTAAGTCTATGATAAACAGTTTTTTGCTTATAAACAAGTAAATGTAAGAGCTTTATGATGCTTCTACATTTATTTATTAAATAAGGTACAAATTGAAGGGACTGAAAAACAACACATGTATACCTAAAGTTACTGTTGACATTTGATCACCTATCTTTAACCAGTACAGTTAAAAAATGTGCACATTTATTTGCCATCATTGTCAAAAAATTACTGTTCATTGATTTATGTTTTCTAAATCAGAAGTATATAGAGGTCCTGTTACTTCAAGGAGTGCTGACATTGATAGTATCTCAGATTTCTTTCTTGTAAAAAAAATATGTATATTTTTGTCTTTCTGTATTTTAAACAAATTTCATGATAATTTTGTCTTTCATGCAGTCTTAAAGAGTGGTCAGATTATTTTTGTGTACAAAATGAAACCTTGTAAAATTTGAGGATACTCAGGCCATGTGAGCAGCACCTTTTTAGTTGTGCCATCATTTCTTTTTTCATTTTTGTGAACTTTAATCACCATTTGAGAACTTTTCCTTTGATATCATTTTGTTGTCAAGCCCAAATTAATGGGATGCAAGACACCAAAACCGAACCAACATTTTTTTTAAAGGTTTTGGTTCAAGATTTTCGGCAATGCTTTGATCTTGGGTTTGACTTTCAGGCTTAGGATTTTTTTTTATATTTTATTTAAAACAACTCCATCTGTCTGCTCTTAGGTGGGACACTATCCCATAATTATGCTGTCACAGAATAACACTTTTTTGTGCATAATCTCTGCACCAGATTTTGTCTAATTTTGGTACACTGTGCCTGATTTGTCCTATCTCCTTTAATTTTTTGTGATGTTTTACTCAGATTGATCTGGAACTACTGAATATGAAAGAATTTTGTTACTATGAAGTGTTCATTTATGTTTCAAATGATTAGCCAGCTGCAAACATTATCAAAAAGGTTCTAGTCATTTAACCTATATACTAGTTTACAAGTTGAGTCAAACTGCAAACATTAAAGATACTGATCTGCAGTAACATGTGCCTTCAGGTCAGGGTGCTCCAGATAAGCTGACCCAGATTATCTACCAGGAGATATGGGTTTGTGCAGTGTGCATTTTGGACTCGACTCATCAGCCAGTATATACAGTATACAAGTGTTTTTACATCTCTAACATTTTCACAGACTCAACTAATCAAGTCCAGTTTTTGTGACTATCATTTAAATGGTCACAAAATCTAAAATAAAAATTCCAGAACAGCTATGGTCACAGAGCTCTTGTATATAAATTGACTGTTGTTACACAGGACAAGTTTGCCTGGCATAAAATGATTCATAAATTGTAATAGGTTTTGGTGTTGATTATTTTAAAAAGATTGTAATTTCCCTAAACCAGCCACTAATAGGAACCTTAGTTTTGTCTATTTTATAAACAGTTGGCTGACTCTAGCTTAATTAGAACAACAGCAACAACCAGAAGCAAAAAAGATAAGGACAAGTGACAACATTACCTCAGATTATGACCAGTTCTGACACCATACTAGTAAACATGGTCCTGTGTCAGTATGGTGGAACTATACAGTTTTGTATTTAGCTTAGGATTAGAATTTCAAAGAAAAAGAGTTTCCCTGGGTTTCCTCACTAGTTATACTGACTGTTTAAAAGAGACTTTGTATATTTTAGGTATTGTTCAAAAAACCTTTAATTCACTTTATTTTGATGTATGATTGATGGAAGTAATATGGGTAAGAGAGTATACAGCTTGGCCTTACTCCAGATGTGCACCTTTCAAAACAGTGCTAGCTCTACTTGCTCATTTTCACTTCTCGAACTTCAGAGGTAAATTGTAAAAAATAAAGCAGATAACTATTTTTTACATTTTATGTATTTGGTAATTCATTCATTGCACTTTTAGAAGCTGGTATTGTCTAGTTTGGCAAAATTTATTTTCCCTATTTTAATAGCTGCTAAGAATAGTGTACTTTATAGACAAATTCAGGTTGATTTTTGGAGCATTAGGGATCAGTCATTTTAGTTAGCAGTGTCCTAAGATCATTTAAAATTTCCAAAAGTACAATATCCAAAGAAATTTCATCCACATTACATGAAAGTAGTATATAGGTATGCCAACATTCTCTCCACTATGCATGTTTAAAATGCAAACAACTTCACCTTACATACATTACTCTCTCAAAAGTATATAATAACTGGTGAGCGCCACCTATGGGTCATAAGAGTAATCTGAGGTAATTTTGTCACTCAGTATGATTATTTTCCTTCAGATTATTGCTTTTTCTCAACATTATAGAGGTGATCAGTTTAAAGAGGTTTGCTTTAGCAATAAAACTGTCATACTATGACCACAGTATGTAGCCAGTTTACAGAGCAGTGGCATCACTAGGCTTGGTGTCACCAGGTATGATAACTTGTGGTTCCCCCACAGTTCCCCTCCATAGACCTCCTTCCTTCACAAAAATTAAAAAATTGTTAAGATAGTCATATGGTAACTCATGGTGTCACCCCCCATCCTGCACAAAAATTTAGTTTGGTATCTCTACCCTGGAGGGTGTCACCTGGTGCAGTTCACACACCCCCTTGTGAAACCACTATTACAGAGAATGTTGCTTTATTGAGGGTCCAGTTAAAATAGTCTGCATGTGTAAAATCAATGCTTACTGCATTGATTTTATGTTTGCTATGAACTCTTGGAAATATGTGATATGGTTCTGATGGCTATTTTCAAATAACAAAAATAAATAATTCATTTACAGCTGTAAAAATGGCAATTACTGCCTTTGTGTATGTGTGTGATTCATAGTTTTAACGTCACTTTTGCAATATTTTTCTGTCATCGCTCCCTGCAGTGTGGCAGTTTATAGTGACAGTGGCATCATGCCATTTAGCATCATGTCCCTCCAAGTAACATTATCCTGACACCAGGCTGACCAGTCCTAACACTAACATGATAATGCCAAGTTCCAAGCAAGGCAATTGCTGTTTTTAAGCATGACTCTGCCATGGTTCGAACCTGGAACCTCCTGCATTCAAAGCAAACATTCTAACCAGTTGCCTTGTAAAAGAAACTGAACTCAAATGAAAATTTTATAGGACTGGGCTGTGAGTTGCTGAGGCACTTAAGGCACTCAACTGTACAGATCACTCAGACATCTTAACTATGACTGCACAGTTCAGGTCTTGGCATCTCCAACATGAGAAAGCTTGCTAGCAGTTTCCTGTGTGTCATTGGTTCTTCTACCATTAGATATAATGGCTGTCGTGTATATCCATCCAGTCACACATGAAAAGTGGCATTAAACCCCACGAAACCAAAACAAACAAGACTTTTCGAAATTTAGAGCCTGTCGGCAGCATTGTCAGTTTTTTACAGAAAGCCATTGATCTCACTCCATGTAAACATATCATGCTAAAGAAAATAAAAATTATATCGCTGATGTACACATTTCTGCATATTGGATAAGAGGAATCTTTAATGTATGCAAGTATGATGAATTTTTTAAATACTTATTCTGCTTTGTGTACGTTTTTATCTATTTTCTCAGACCTGCCAACTCTTATGATTTGGCCTTAAGTCTTATGAAAATTACCCTTAAAATACGGACTTAAGGCATGCAAGCAAAAAGTATGGAAAAATGATTGTTGTGGAAAAATCAGGATAATTGGTTCATCTGTGGTTTTTTGGATCTGGTTTCACCCCAGATGCTTTAAACTGCACCTATTTGTTCATGTGAAGTGTTTGCATTATCAAACTGTTGATTATATAATTTTTTTAAAATGGTGTATGGAAACTGAAAGGGAAAATAAGCCTCTAGAAATGTGTTAAAAATCAACACAGAAAAATAAAAAGGAATATTCTTGTGATTAAAAGAGGGACAGGATACAATTACATTTTTTTGACATTATGATCCAATTTGAGCACATCTTGTGGTGGGAGATATGATTGACATTGTCATATGAAATGGTAAAAGAATTCCCAAGAATTATGTCAAGTTGAAAGATAGCAACAAACCATTGAAGCGCATAGGGTTTTATAACTAAAGTTTGTGAAACTATATTAGTGGTATATAAAGTCTATGCGTACTTTAAAAACTTTTCAATTGAACATAATGGTATTGTCGCTGTGTTGAACTTTTAATTATGTTTTTCAGCTTTACAATAGCAGTTAGTGATATTCTGTTACACCTTACTGAAAACTGGTTAATCTTAAAATATCAGCTGCCTTACTGAGAGATGGACTCTTTGGTGAAGGCAGGTCTGTTTTCTGTGTAATTACCATACTGTGTAATTACTGTAGATAGAGATTGATATCTAGAAGTTGGGCAAGAAAATTCACACCAAGTTATAAATTTGTCATTTTGAATTTCTTGGACCCTTAACTATCTTTTTTAAAAGATAAAATTCCAATATTTCATAGGCAGTCATTGTTACAGCATATACTCTGCGAATGGATTATACACACTAGTCTCAGAAATTGCCATCTTTATGCGAGTCCAAAATTCAATCCATAATTACCTTGACTTTTTTATCTGTCCAAATTCCTTTAAGGTATGAATATATAGTATATATTAGGATGGAATATGTTTAAATATTATTGGACAACTCGCTCAAATTTATGTTAAGTACTGATACTGAACATTTATTCATTTAGCATCTTCTTTACATTGCATTGAAACTTTGTGTACACTCTGTGCTAAATAGATAAAATTAAAGTGTTCAATAAAGGAAGACTGAATAGTAGTATTAAAGGTGTCCTTTGTCACATTATAAAAAACTATCTGCTCACAATGTATAACCAAAAACTTGGTGAAACATTAATCAGAATGGAGTCAAATCTTTCATTTGGCTGAACAAAATAACAGTCTGTAGTTCATCAGCATCTCTAGGCTTTACCCTAGGAGACAGTCAGCAAGCTTACTACTCACCCACTAAAGGCTAAACAAAATTATATCATGTTTGTAATAAGGCAAATTTTTCTATTGATCTCTGTAGAAAACATTTAGTTGGACATGTGTACAATTAATTAGATTTATGGAGACTTTGTTTAAATCTGCATAATGCACAGATTGGTACAGTCTCTCATGAGTTTGAGGGATTTTTTTAATAAGGCTGTTTGTTTAAACTGAACAGGATAGGGGTCAACTTCTGATCTATATAGAAAACTGTAATTTCTGAAAGATTCCAGGAACCAGTTGGGTAATCAATGTTTGTCAGTCGAACTCCATTGTTTGAGCCTAGTTCAGGCCAGAAATATATTTTATTTGCATTGGACACACTGTGTAGGGGACATGGTTTCACATGAAAACTTTTAGTTTAAATTTGCTGATAGCAAATTGAAAATCAGTCTACTCTTTTCTGCATGAGAAAACTAATGTAAGGGGACGCTGAGTTTTTTAAGAAGTTAATTCACTTGCAAAATCATCCAGGGAAAACGATTGTCTGGGGAAAAAAAACAGACACAAAAGTCTGAAAGCACAAGATGTGATAACTCCACAAGACATATTAACTTCATGTGATGGAACATCACATGTATTACAAACCCAAAGTGGACACAAAATTGAAAGGGCCAAAAGTGGTGTGATACCTAAGAATTTGGAAAAAAAATGGGAAAAAGAGGAAAGAACCCAAACTTACTGTCACAAGGAAGTCAAAAGGGACAGTTGCTGTGGAATTTGGACTGAATCAAGACATTAGGTTATGAATTGATACAATGCAGTGTTTTTCAATCTTTCACTCAATTCAATGATGAATAAAGTCTATCATTTAACAGATCCGTTGTGGTTTAATCATATTTGTATATGAAATTCATTGAATAAATTAGTTCAAAAAGAAAAAAGTATATCTTTCAAATTGTAATGCATTATCACAGTTATTTATGAATTTTATTGTTATGAATTTTGGTTACATTTTGTCTTTATTTGTAATGGAGGCTCGTGTTATTCTGTTCAATATATCTGCTCAGATCTTATTTTATTCCACCCATAAGTTCAACACTTTATATTGATGTTTTCTCATTCTGGGCAAATTACACCATCGGTGGTGATCACCTCTAGATAACGATAACAAAAAACAGGTAACCCACCTGGACAAAGTTGAGGAGGGGTATTCGGACAATGTTCTGTACTGTATAGCTAGTATTGTGCTGATGTGCATATACTTAATATGATAAATAACATTGTTGCAACAGAACTGTTTTAGGTAACAGAACTGTTTTAGGTTTACTAGAAGGTGTTTGCTTAAATAACTAACAATATATATTGAAAACCTTTTTGTAAATCTATTTGCATTAACTACGACAATTAGCTATTGTAGAAATACCTTACAAAAATGTTAATGTTTTACCAAGAAATCACAAAGTTAGAATCACAATGGTAAATAAAATTAGCATTTTGTAAAATAAACATGTCTTCACTGCTTAATGCTCCATCTCACACTTCATCTTTTTTGTTTGTTTCCTTCATTTATTAAATACAAGTTCTAAAAAGGTGTTTTACAAATGTCTGCATACTACACTAATACATAATAACTTCTACTAGATTTTTTTTATGACTGCCCTCTTTCAAGACTTGCACCAGCTGTTGCCTGGTCACAGGTATAGTGACTGCTTGCTTGTAGGCTTATTACCTGTAGGCAATATATATAAAAAAAGTAGGGGTCACAGTCTGGTGGTTACAGGTTTCACTTTTGGGTCTGGTAGTCAAAGTAAACTGCCATAATAGCCATTTCTTTAATGACTACATCACCACCTTACCTGATAAACCAGAAGCATTCACACCATAAATAAATCAAATAAAATGCAGGTTTATAAATCTTTAGATTATCGTAGTTCAGAAATGTCACTGTAACCTCCTGCCCCTTTTAGTAAGTTGAACACCTGCAAGTCTGCATAATACTTAACTTGACCAAAAATAAATTGTTGATAAATTGGCTGGTAAAAGTTCAATAAATTCTCAATTTTATTGTAAAAGTGCAGTTTTCTTGTCTGGTGTTTCCCCATATTCTGAATTCTGATAATCCACCCATAGACTGTGAAAGATCAATAACTGATATTCCACATATGGGCATTGCCAAGTGGAATGTTTCTTAATGATGTCAGTAGTGTGTGGTGAACTGTAGTGGAGTGCTCTTGTTGATGGCAGATAGAAAAAGAAATGAATGCCGAGAGGGAGGGATCCATGGCATGAGAGAGAGAGAGAGAGAGAGAGAGAGAGAGAGAGAGAGAGAGAGAGAGAGAGAGAGAGAGAGAAAATAAGTTATCTCAGATGAATTAAAAAGTACATGTGAATAAAAAATTTTAAAACAAAATTGATTTTTTTGGTAGAAATTACTAAATTAAATATAGTCTCATATGATAATTCAGACTGGAGTAAGTGAATCAAATTAAGAAGAAACAAAATCTTGTTAAAAATGACTCTAAAGAACATAATCCTAAAATTACACATTCTGCAACACTTGCCCATGTAACATCAAACATGCAGTGTGTCCATTTGACAGATAAAATGTTAATGGCTTGTTTAAGTTTCACACTTTTAAGGCAGTTTTCCTTTTGTGGCACAGATTTATTAACCTGATTGGGTTCTCTTCAACAAGTTGAGATTTTCTTCAATTGGATATATATATATATATATATATATATATATATATATATATATATATATATATATATATATATATATATATATATATATATGTGTGTGTGTGTGAGAGAGAGAGAGATTAAACTAAATGGGTAATTGTTTTGATAATTTTCTAGAAAATAGTTGAGATCATAACATACTTTACACAGGGTGTATTAATAAAGTTTGTATTTGATTGTTTTCTTCATGGTTTATTTTTTTCTTGCCCTGTCAACTACTGTGTAACAATGAAGGGGAAGTAACTCCCATTCAATTCAGCTTGCAGCTAGGCATCACTAAAACAGCTGCAGGTGAACTTGCACTGAACTGGCTTTTGCCCATTTGACAGAATTATTTTGCTTTTGCTTTATCACCTATTACTTTTTTGTGTATGTTTATTCTTTTAATGGAAATTCTGTAAATTTATATCACCTAAACTAAAATTTTTGGGAAGTCGATG